TGCCTCTGGGAAAGCCGTCTCCCCTCGGCACCTTGGCAATGCCTTCTGCTGTGCGTGCTGCTGGGGCGGGAAGGCTTGGAGCTGGCGGAAGGGCAGGGGCAGCTCTGGGGTGGAGGTGGTTGAGTTGCATGAAGGTAGAGGGGAACTGAAAGCACGACCAGGCTCCAAAGCACCTATAAATCCCACAAACAACGAAACAGAGAGGGATGTGGAGACTCTTAAAAGCTGAAATTCTCACATGATCACCTGGTTCTGAGAGCCCAAGACTTTGCAAAGCAAAATATTGGTGGCAATATGTGGACAGCTGGTTACCTTGGTGAGCTGGAAAATCAGTTTTTCACCCCATTCTGCCTCTCGGACCCAGAGCAAATGCATCAAGAAATTTCTCAACTTAAAAATTTAGATAGTATATACAGGTTAGGATTTAATGAGATTTGTGGTGGTAGCATCTCTTGTTGCATCAGATCTGGAGCTAAAGATTCTTGCACTGAGTGGTCTCTGGAGAAATGTGTGAATTTTCTTTAGGTTATTTGTATTCCTGGAAAATCAGGCTGAAAATCAAAGTCTGGTTTCACACCCAGACTTTGTGGGAGAGCCTTGTGAAATGGGACTCACTGTAATTCTTGAAGAGATAGGAACTAGCTGGGGGTTTGGCTTCCCCCGTGGAGCATCAGCCACCTTCTGAGAAGGTCTGTGGTCCTTTCCCAGACTAGACCTGGCCCTACCTCCTCCTCTTGCTCTCCTGGATGGATTTAGCCTCCCTGTCCCTCCTCAAGGAAAACATGCTTGGGAAATATTTCTACATATATAAATATATCCATAAAAATAATGACGTTCCTGCATCCTAGGTCGGTCACGTCATTACAAGGCAGGTGCCAGACGGGAGCTGAATGCTCACATGGCCTTGAAGATCCAGATCTGGAGGAATTGTACAGGGTCAGGCCAAGAAATTCAGAGCAGAAAGCTCAGCTCTAATCTCGGAGGTTTGAAGCTGGGCTGTGCTCTTTTCCTCTGTCTCTCTACAGCAGTGAAGCGGTTTGCCCTGCACGACGTTCTCCAGGGTACCAGTGGATTTGGTGTTATCCGAGGCAGGCTGGTTTTCTTCCCAGTTTCTCCTAGGCGAGGCACTGCCCTTTCCCCGTGTGCAGCCACGTGATGGAGAAGCGATTCAGGTGCTGGGTTTGAGGTCTGCGCCCTTGGGACAGGCTGTCTCAGCTTTCTTTGGAGCAGAGGTTTGGATGCTTTCAGATTGCTTTCACCCACCTCTACAGAAGGTAAGAAGTCAGCAGGTAAGTGTTGCAACCCTCCTTCACGGCGTTTAAATGCTGAAATGAGGGAACGTCTCACTAACTACAAGACGCCTGTAAGAGGCATCAGTACGCATTTCGTGAGGTCAGTGGCGAGCTGCTGGTGTCGAAAGCACAGGAGAGTGCAGGAAGGGAGATGTCCTTCTCTTGAAAATACGATGATACTTTTCAAAATAACATTTTGCACATCTCTGTCATCACCTTTTGCATCTACCGCTCCTCCCCTGGGTAGGGTCGGCGTGTTGGGAAACATCGTGGTGCCTGGCTTTGCTGCGGGGCACCTCCCCGGGTGCTGGTCCCACGCTCTCTCCACATCTCCAGCTCCTGAGACACGGCCAGTGTTTGGGCTGTGTGGCTTGGGACCCCCGGAGACCCAGGGGGACGGAGAGCTCCCCAGAGCCGGCCGGGGGAATCATCTTAGGGAACCGTGCGACCGCGCCCTGGGAGACAAGGCAATGGTTCAGGAGGCGTTTCTGTGAAATCACAGATTTCCGCTGAAGACATACGGTATTTTGGCATTTAATTGGTATCTTAAAGCGACAGGATGGGCTGGATATGGCAGCGAAGTCAGGGAAAGGTGTCTGGGCATGTTTTGACTTTTCACAGCACCCCAAAGGGTGTGTGGAACACACAGTGTTTTGCACAATACAAAACACACACAGTGTTTTGCAGAATGACCACCCCAAACCTGATCGCGCTGAGGACCTCCAAAACCAGAGGTGGGACAACAGGAGGTGAAGGAAAGCCTGGTCTCAAGTAACAGCAGGACGTAAGAAGCAATGTGATCTGAGATGCATCGTACAGTGATTTTCGTTTTGATTTCATGGCCGTACTATTTATCACAGGTCCATGATGAAGCTAACGAAGGTTGATGTATGATGCAATATATATTGCAGATATTTATTGTGGAGTCATGAGCTCGTGGATAGGCACGGCTGTGTGGTTTCAAATCCTGGCTCAAAGCATTCCTGTCGAGGTCTAATATACAAAGTGTTATCAATTTAGCGAGGTTTTAGGTTGGTCTGTGGCAGCTCTGATCTCCGGGTTGCCGATCCTGCCCTCTAATTTGAGTTGCCCTGGTGTAAATCTGGAACGACTGGCTTGGTTTCCTGACGGTGCAAGTTTTGGAAGTGTCGTTGAAGTCAATGACGCAGCTCTGCAGAGAAGGTAAATTCGCGTTCCCGACTGACTCGAGAGGACTTAGGCTGCTTCAGCCATCTGAAAATCTGGTTTAGTGAGATTGCTTCGCGCTAACACCGGCGTGCTGAGAGCAGCATCGGGCCGGGCCGGAGATCAGCGCATCCGAGGGTGCTGCTTTATTTTGTGGGTCCCTGTTTCGAAGACGGGGGTTGCTCTTTTAATGTCACTCGTGCACATCAACAGGTTGCTGGCACGAGGTGGCTGCACTCGAAGCCAGACTGGGCTGCACTGCGCTGGTGGCTGTGGGGTTTAGGGTCTGCGAGGTTTTTTTATATGACCGTATAGATATTTTATGACCATAAATGTGTCATTATTTGATTCACATGTACTAATTCAGTGGATAGAAGTGAATTTAAAGCACTTTATTTGAAAGAGTACAGTAATTATTAGACATTAAAACTCATTTTTGCACCTTGTGCGGTTTAGGTGGGTCTTAAACATGGTCAGGGTGAATAATAAATTAAATGCTTAGATCTGAAGGGGAAGAGGCATGTAATTAACTTGAATGTTGAAAAAAAAATCAGCTATATGGGATTTTATACAGCAGGTCACTGACAGGATAACTTCTGGGTAAGTTTCTTTGGGTTTTCCTGACATACATGGATTTGTTTTCCCTTGAAAAGTAACAAAAATAAAAAAAAACACCTTTTAAAACTGAGTATTTGGTGATCTAAATACAATTTTACACTCTGATTGACTTGAAACGTGATTTGAATTCCCATTGCTGAGAACAGACAGATTTTTTGACGAGCCGTTTCTGAAACAATATTCAAATGCTCCTTTGCCATTGAAGGAACAAAGTGGAAGACCAGAATCGGTATTTTTGCTGTGGCAGAGAAGGGTTAAACCGGTGCTAAAGCTGCTGCACTTGGAGAGCAGCCTTCTGGGGATATTTGCATTCATTGACTAGTAAAATGGATCCTTGGCTCCAACGAAAAAAGCTCGGTCTCTGTGATAGCGTTTCTCGCCTTGCTTCACGGTGCGGCATCAGGGACAGCAGTCGGCAGCTAGAGGAGGTGGCGTGGGAGCTCCTGTGCTCTCAGCCTCACTTGGTACGGTGAGATGAAGACCACGGTAACACCTGGCCTGGGTCAGATCAAAGCCTTGTTTACTCCTTTTCTCTCCAGCAATAGCCATTAGCACATGTTTGAGGAAGAGCACAGCGAGGAATAGAGGAAATTCAAAAGGAGAAGACGACGGGCACAAGTAAAGACAAAAGAAAAGCGTCATGTGGTGGTGGTTCATGTCAACACAGTCGAAATGATCAGCCGTGTTCCTTATGATTTGGAACTGGGCCCGATCTTCTTGAATATTTCCAGTAACAACCTTAGCAGAAAAAGCCTGAATGTGGTGACGACATTTTGTGATGGTGCAATGCTGGGGAGACATCACCAACAGAAAGAAGCATTAGGGTGTCACACTGGAAATGTATGACTTTTAGGCTGAGCAATACAAATGGGATTAAATTAATGATTGAAAGAGCAAAGTTGCATCCCAAAGACAGCCCAAATTCTTTGACTAGGCTGGGGACCACAACCAGGTCCTGACAAAGAAAGGGGTGGGATGGTTACGAGGCTTTGGTGTGATGCAGCCATGAAAAAGGTCTGGGCTGTTGGAAGCAGGTGATGTGGTAGAAGCGGGTGTGATAAAGATCACACTTTAAACGCTTTGTGTTACTCATCTGAGAATCTGAGCGGAACAGGAACAGGAGCAAGCGAGCAAAAACCAGGGAGAGCGATGAAGCATCGAAGCTGGAGGACAACGCTGTCCAAGAACAAACGAGCCATGGACGAATTTGAGCCGAAAATCAGGCGGTTTCTATTGTCGCAGGAGAGAGCAGTTGCGGGAGATCCCCGGTGGGGTCAGCAGGGACTCAAGGACACGCTTCCAGTTCCGCCTTCTCAGGAGAGCCTCCATGGCAGCGAAAGCCATCCGCGTCCCGCGGGCGGTTGTCAGTAGCCGCAGCAAAACTTCCAGTCCGTGAGATGGCGGCGGCACAGAGCGAGCGCTCCCCGCGCGTGCGGGCGGCCGGGGGAACTGGGAGGCAGGGGAGCGGAGTCCAACAGCGCTGAGGCATCGGGTGGCAACCTCCACACCCAGCAAATGGCTGTAATAACAACCCTCGCGGTGCCCCGGAGCTCTTCGTGAAGGGCAGCAAACTCCACCGCGCACTAAATCCTGCAAGGGGGACGTGGAAGGAGCCGGCGCGGGGTGGGATCCCAGCGTCCTCGTTCCTGTTACTACACTGGTGGTTTTGATTTAATGCCATTTCCCCTCAGCATCAGAAAACCGTCGCCCACGAGGGGAACGGGGAGACAGAAGGTGTGTTGGGCCGTCACAGTGCATCTCCCCAGGAGATGTGTCGACTTTAGTCCCCCAGCAAAAATGAAGGGAGAGAGGGGAGAGGTGAAACACTCGTCGGAAGAAGCACCGTCTCTAAAACGGGTGCCAGAGTTTTCCCCAGCTCCCCTCTCGGCCTGGGGGAAGGTTTGGCTACACTTTCTCAGACATCCCCCTCGGCAGGGTCTGTGGGGAGTGAAGCTCCACCGACTGCCGCCGACGGACCTCGCGCTCTGCCCAGTCCTCCTCTGGCTCGAAGCCTTTGAAGATGGCGAGTCTCTCTGAGAAGGTTTTGGCTTGCGGGAAGAGGATGTAATTGTAGATGATGGAGGCTGCTGCTGCAAGAGAAGAATCAGGTGAGCAAAAGCCAGCCCGAGTCTGGAAAAAGGAGAGGAACCAGGGTCTCCAAAGAGCACTGCAAGGGGCTTACATTCCTTCCTACCCTGTGTGCATCAGGAGCAAAATGCAGGAGCCAGCTCTGCTTTGGCCATCACTGTTGACCTGAACTCACATCCATTGCTGTTGTGCCTGAATATACCTAACAGAGAAGAATCAGGTGAGCAAAAGCCAGCCCGAGTCTGGAAAAAGGAGAGGAACCAGGGTCTCCAAAGAGCACTGCAAGGGGCTTACATTCCTTCCTACCCTGTGTGCATCAGGAGCAAAATGCAGGAGCCAGCTCTGCTTTGGCCATCACTGTTGACCTGAACTCACATCCATTGCTGTTGTGCCTGAATATACCTAACCATCTTCTTCTGTCTTTCCTCCTCTATTGAGAGTTGTGTGATCTTCATTAATGATATGCCCATCATGAGCATGCTTAATGATTTGGCTTCCTCTGGAGAAGTGTCTTCCAAGCCATTTACATATTGCTACAGAGAGGAGGAGGCTGCCAGCTTGGGCTGGACACCTCTGAGCACATCAACCTGAACCACCACAGCTCTGGCTCCGAACGTACTCTTTGCAGATGGAAATGCCTGGAAGTGTTCCCAAAGGAGCGGGTGGAAAATGTGTGCCCAGATCCAACCGGAACCAGGAAACATCCCTGGGACTGGCAAGAAGAGCTCCCCACTCCATGGGTTTTGCTTCTTTTGTTAACAGTCAACAAACCACACACCCTCTTCCTGTTGCCGTGCACCCTGCTTAGATAAGCCAATTAAGCACCCAGCAGCCCCACCTCTTTTTGCTAATCTCTACATGTCTCCTCCAGCTGGGAGCTGGCATGGAAATGCCAGGAATCTGGCTGGTGCTGTGGATTTCTAGGAATACTTGTAATTTGGGGCTCATCCCACCAAAACAACACATAGACCTGCTTTCTTACCCAGTGGTCGCTGAAGTCTCCGACTATCACAGCAGGGGCAAAAGATCTGGCGGGATTCATGGAGCAGCCGGTGTAACGGATCTGCCGAGAAACACCACACATTGTTAGCATTAAGCCCTTTTAGCACATTTTAAAAAATCCTGGGGTGTTATTAGCATGATTCATTCACTGAGCTGATGTTTCACCCTCCAGCATGCCTGTTCCAGGAAAAGGGATGCTACCAGCTTCCAGCACCTGAGTCAACATGGGTGAGTTGTCTGTATTTGCACATCTTCTGTATGAGCACGTCCTGCGCATGGTGCAACTTAGCTGCAGGTTGGTTGACGTGTCCTGCAGCATGACCAGGACTGTGGGGACAAGCTCCTGCTGTGCCTATTCCTGGAGCACGTTGCTACTCCTTGCCACTGAAGACTGGAGAAGGATAGTCCCGTAGAACTATGGGATTGCAGATAACCAAGGATGGAAGATGTGGTGTGAACATCACTATTTCAATGCATGCACTGAGAAGCTGGGAGTGTTGGGGGCTGCTTTGGTGTCTCATCCAGGAGGGTTTTCCCTGGGTGTCCATCCCAAATACCTCCCAGTCTCACCATGGTCTCAAGTGCCTCAGTTGCTGACACATTCACTTCACGATAGAAGACCCCACTGATCCCCAGGAGTTCCCTGCGGGGCTCAAGGAGCAGCAGAGCCCAGCAGGTTAAATGTTTTCATGCTCAATAAAAGCTGAGCTCAGGCTATGGCTCTGTTACAGCTGTGGTGGGATTTTTCTCTTCTACCGACTGGAAAGCCATGGGGACCACGAGCTACAAATCTCCAGCCCACCCCGGAGCATGCAGCCAAGCAGGCTTTGGGCACAAAGGCAGAGACAACCCAAAAATCTCTGTGTTTTAGCCCATTCTACCCACCCCAAGGAGATGCCCCACGGCAACAGAAAGACCGATGGACAGGGCAGGAGAGCCCAGGTTGTCCTCCCGGCGTTCATCAGTAGAAGCGAAGATGCACAGGACCAGCTGGAAGGTGAGGAAGAGCTCGACAGTCACTGCCTGCCCCGTCGTTGTCTCATTGTGCAGCTGGAAAGGGAGAAAAAATGTGTCTCAGGGATGGGGAAGTTTGGGGACTGGGTTGAAAATGTGGAGGGTGAAATCCAAATAAAGGACAACCAGAAAAGGGCATAGGAAATAGGTGAGATTTTTGGCACCAATATGAAGAGGAGGAAAAATTGCCCAGGTAAAAGGAAAAATGGGTCAATGGGTAATATTTGATTGACATAGCAGGAAATGGTGGTCAATGGCTCAATGTCCAGCTGGAGATCGGTGATGAGTGGTGTCCCTCAGGGGTCTGTACTGGGACCAGGAGTTTACCTATCGTCATCAACGACACAGGCTGTGAGATCCAGTGCACCCTCAGCCAGTTTGCCGATGACGCCCAGCTGAGCAGTGCGGGTGACACGCCTG